AATATTGCTATATTAAAAAAAGGAAAGGGGGGGAATTCAAATTAGGAAAAAAAGATCGTTTTTAAGTAAATCAGTCTGGTAGTACTGCAAAATGGATGCAGTTGTGGAGATTTATGGATAATAGGAGCATGCTGTCTGGAATATTTCCATAAAGGTAATTTAATAGCAAAAAAGAGTGAAAATACCGGTGGTGCTTTTCATGCATTACATGTGTGTTTTAAAATTCCTAATAGCCCAAGGGGATTCCTCAGTGTAGAAAGCCACTAGCCCCATTCTCAAAAATGGAAGCCCCGGGTGTAGTGCGATGCTAATTACGCACCCATCATGTAAAATAGTTATAGTAGCCTTATATCAATTTCAGTATTGTTTTAAATTAGTTAAAACAAATGCCAAAAACAATAATTTTTAAAAAATCTAAATAAAGCAGACACTCAAAATCAAATACAGAAAGAAGCACTGTTTTGACTGAACGTTTTTCAGTAATACAATGAATCTCTTACATATCAGATGAGATAAACTTACATTCAATTATTTAGTTGTTGTCAATTATCTTATTTATCATCATCTCAGCTCACTTTGCGATTGTAATACTGTCTACATGAACCGATAATTTACAGCTGATTAATGAACACACGATTGTTAAAATTTTCATTTCCCTTTCCAATATACATTGTCAGAATATACTTAGTTGATTATAATATAAATTAAATAATTAACACTTTCGATTTATTAAAGATTATCTAACAATATACGATCATTTACTAAATACTTCTCGCCCTCAAGAGAGTTAAAAAGACAGAGAAAATTCAAAATACATACAAGTGCAACTTAGGATTAATTGTTCCGATACATCTATTTTAATTTTGTGCACAATTGTTTTCAAAATTACATTAAAATCAATATTCCTTAAACAAAAACCCAGCAATAGATAAATATTAATCGAATAAACTTACCTTTTCTCTTGTCAATCAGACAATCTTGTTGACATTAAAGTGTTTCTTAGTCGCCATTATTTTTTTCCATGAAAACAAATGTTGTTATGATCAGGATCAACGGAAGTTGATTTTCGGAACTCTTGAGAATTCCGAATGTAAAACTGAAACACAAAACACGGTGCGTCCGTGAAAGCAACTTTTTTGGACAAATCGTCGTGTCCAACTTTTGTTGGGTACTAACCTGCAAATACCCAATTAGGGTGTTTTAAGCATATTCAGCGACACTTCTTATTGGAAAGCAAAAAGTACCCAATAAGTACAATCTTGGCATGAAAAAATCAAAATAAATGCACTCTCGTAAACACGGACGGACGGACAGACGGACAAAATGTGATAAGAAAAGCTCACTTGAGCTTTCAGCTCAGGTGAGCTAAAAATGCAGTATGAATGTTAAAAAAAGAATTACCGTCAGTACAAAAGGGTCCCTCCCATCCAGGCTTACAGGGAGATGTACAATGTCCCCTGAATCTGTCACATTCATCACAATTACTACACATCTGAGAACAGTTATGGCCGTGCCAACCAACTGGACATGCTATCAAAATTATATTTAGGTAATCATTTTTCATGGACACGAGTAAGAGAAAAGCATTGTCTTCCAAAAAAAAGCTAGTAAGTCAATAAAATATAAATTGTACTTAAATATGCAAAGGTAATACGTAATATCGCGAGTACCTCGCGGTTTTCTACTTTACTACACTCATTTTTAGGGGAGTCAAGAAAGCTCTAAATCTCGTAATTATCTGGGGCACATGGCATTGTTTACAATAGTACATGTAGCAATCGAATGATTCGAACAATTTTACGCCGAAAAAACATTGTACAATGTATTACAAAGATTTAAGTTCCAAATAGCAGATTGTCAAATAAAAAAAAATTAGAACATTTTATCAGTATTAAATGTGACGATTTGCAATGAAAATTTAAATAAGAAGAGTCCGCTTAGTTAAAATTATCGTAAAAAAAATGTAACATGTTAGGATTGGCTCCTCTCAAATCTCAATCATTTTTTGATCCGACACATATTTTTGGTTTCCCACAGAAAAACATGGAAACTTCCATGATACTTGTTTGGGAAGCGGGGGATATCATTTAGTGGGCTCAATACTCGCAGTACCTCTAGTTTACTTATCTGTTTTTATAAATTCTAAAATGATCGATCTTGTATTGTATTCAATATCACATTTGCATGAACCAAACAGACATTTTCTACCTCTATCGCAAAAGACTCCCACTAAAATAAGTAATCGAGATATCAAGTATTGAGGATTTTAAATAAAAAAGAGATAATTAGCTGTTTACAATTGCTCTACGAAAATAAAGGATCAATTTATTGTTCAGAAGGAACCTTGCTGAAGCCTTCTGAAAAAAAAGCCAGAAATAGTTGCTGCTAGAATTCAGATGTATTAGAAAACCCATGTAAGTGAACATCGAGAAAAACTTACGTGTTTGGCATTTATCTCCATAAATCCCGACGTCACATCCATTTGGACAATTTCCGTTGATATGGTGACAAGTCACTCCGTTACTACAGTTACCGCATTTCAGAGAGCAAATTTCTCCATAAAACTGTGCGCTACAAGCTGTATTATTTACAGCAATATATCAATAAAAGAATGGTACATTAATTGTATTACATGGAGTTCAAGTTAATAAACTGGATACCCGCTTTCAATTATTAGCCTTCATGTACATGTATTTGTTTTGAATGATTTTTAAAAAAGATATTGTCAAATAGGAATAATCCTGATAAAGAAAAGAGGTTGAGGAGAAAATAAAAAGGAGGTGATTCTTTACTCGAAAATGTGAAAACCATGAAACATTGTGTCAAAATGAAAATATTTTATGAATACGCTTAACATTTTGCATAAGGAGGAATAAATATAATACATAGGCAATTTAGCCACATATGATCCACATATGCATTGTCTTTCATATGAATATCATATGTGGATCATATGAAAATCATATGTATATGTATTACAATCGTATGACAATCATATGTGGCCAATCATATGACAATCATATGATCATACATATGTGAATCATATGAAGTTATATACATATGATTCTCATATGAAAGATCCTGCATATGAGAATCATATGAATATTCTGACAATAATCATATGAGAATCATATGAAACTGAACATATGAGAATTATATGAAACAATGTTCACTAATTTGTCCTTGTTATACTCAGGTAAAATTCATACGAATGTTTTGACTGTGATCATATGAGAATCATATGAAACGGCGATCATATGAGAATCATATGAAACAGTGTTCACTTATCTGTCCTTGTTATACTGAAGTAAAATTGCAATTTCAATTATATATATCAAAAGATAAATTTAAATGTACGCGGGTATGTTAAGGAAGCATATAAGTCATTTTCCGGGAAATGTAGACTTTTTAAAGAAAACTAAGTTTGATAATTTACCAAAACCGCTGACAAATGTAAACTATTATTATCTCTTGCATAGAGATAAAAGAGTGTCTAACGCAACGACATGCACGGCATCACGTGACTTCTATTAATATCGAAATTTTCCTTAATAAAAAAGCTAACAGAACAACAATACCCCGGAGTTTAATATTTTTTTTGAGTAAATGATGTAGTTGAAAAACATCTATTTTGCCTAAAAAGTGCTGCTAGAATCCCACTGTTTCGTCAGTAAAATAATTATTCCACACATTCGCAAAAAACCTTACCCGATGTTTTGAATTTTTTACATATGAACCGAGATTTTTCGTAAAACCATATTTAACTCGGGATTCTAGCAGCACTTTCCAAGTATTTTAGAAGGAAAACGATCTATCTGTACAAATTTTATGTTTTGAAATATGCAGCTTATTGTTGTTCTAATGCATTATTTTCGTCACAAATGACAGAGGAAAATCCGACCGGGATACGTATATAGCTGACTGTCTTCGAAAGAGAATATAATCAATGAAAATAAATTAGCATACCTGTTTTATTAACTATACTCCATATGAATTTCACAAGATATTCACGATATTTGCTTTTTAAACTCCATTTTACGTATCTTTGTTCATGCTGTCTTAGCCAAATTCTCTTTACACGACATCATCAATTCCAAAGTTACTTGATGTACACATATGACGTCACCGGTGGTAGATTTTAATCAAAATGAAAAAATACAGCATAACAAAGTAGGAACATTTCATTGTTGTTAATGTTTACACGTTTCTATTCATTTTCTAGAGTTAGATTACATCTCTAAATACCAATATTACGAAAACTTGTGTTCTAGAATTGACGTCATCTCGCCTACTATGACGTCATAATGTAGCACTGATTTAGTCATGGTAGAATATTTTGTATGCTTCCTTATCCCCCATGCGTACATTAAGTCAAAAGAATTTGTTAGTAATTAATTAATAGATTGTATATAAAGTTCTACTCTGTTTAACCCAACGCCCCCCCCCCCCCCCCCCTTTCCTTCTAGAAAAAACCTTTCACAATTTTTTTTCTGTTATAATGCATTTCCCAGACAAAATAGATAAAGAATAAATTTATTTGCTTTTCATTTTAAATCTTTTGGGTTGGCTCAGTAAAATTAAAATAATTCCGTATTTTTCTCCGGGCCGGTTTTGCCTTTTATCGGATGAAAATATACGTCATTTTTGACGTCACTGCTGCAGCAGACGTGTTGGGTGTTTGGAAAAGGCAAGTGATCTCCTAACAATAATATTTTAAAGACTTTTGATTCATATTGTTTAAAAATAATTTCATTATTGTTACAGATGCGTATGAACTCTCTATATACTCTTATCACTTGCATCATGCATGTAATTGTTAAATCAATGCATTTCGTAAACCTAACGTTCGTGATCTGTAAGTAAGTTTGGATAAAATTTGTTTCTGAATGAATGTAAACATTACATGTTAGGCTAAAGGCATTACTGCTTTTTAAAACTTGAATTTGTTTTCGGTTTGTTACGTACCGATATGAAAGTGAAAGTAGAAACCTGTCAGTTGGCGTTATGTATGTTGAGATCGTTATCAAGTCCGGATTCCTTCTTAAACTTAATGACAAATGTTTGTTTTTATGGCCTTTAGATGCATTCGGCAACTTGATTTCAGTGTCACAGTGCTGTTTTTTTTCAGTCCAAAGAGCCCGAAGCTGATAAGACTGGCGATTGATCCTGAAGCTGATTTGACAGACGATTGCATTGTAGACATAAAGGTTTTATAAAATAGTTTGGGTTCGGGATACATATATTTGATACGTCACAAACAGCTGATTTACCACCATATTAAGCCAGTTGTGATTATACCCTGGATTTACACAGACGTCTGACGACACTGTCCCGTCCGAGGTCCACAGCTCAGGTGGGTTGTAACTTATTGTTACCTCTCACCATTTTCACGAGTTATACTAACTACATAGATTGTATTTCCTTGTACTAACGCACTTCACAACATTGGCGTCGCCGGAAGGATCTTCCGATCGGTGAAGTGCGACATATTGTGTGTTTATATTTCGCGCCATTTTTTTTTTCTTTGTTTTCCGTTTTTCTTCTCAAATAAAATTCTTTTTAAAAAAAATAAATTCAATGGCGGTTTCTATCATTTCCTTGCTTTTTTCTCATTTTTTCATTTAGATTTGATTGTTGTCGGATTTTCTGATAACGATCATAAACACTTCACAGTCACTCTTGATTTTCTGTCGGACATTCTGATAGTTAATCAACAGCACGACTGTTTTTCTATCTTTATTTTTGAACAAAACAAAACTGAATCAGAATGGCAAATAGTGAAAACCCTGTAGACATAAACAATGCTAGTTTTGGGGAATTAAAAACAATCCCAAACATAGGAGATAAAAGGGCAGGGTTAATCATGAGACTTAGGGAAGAAAAGGGGACAATCTCTGTTGAAGATTTAAAAACACTAACATCAATCCCAAGCACAGTATGGGATCCCCTTGTGAGTGAGGGTGTGATTGTTTTTGGAGAGAGAGACACACAAACACAATCAGAAAAAAACACAATACCCCAAAATTGAAGATGCTTTAAATGAAATTGCAAAATTACAATCAGATATAGCATGGCTCACAAAAGACAATGAAAGAAAGAATATACAAATTGTTCAGTCAGAAAAAGACATCACTTCTAGACAACAGCAAATAGAAGATTTAGAAAATACATTAAGATCAGAACATGAACAACAAATGTACAAACTACAACAAAAAATTGAAACAGAGCTAGCAAACACAAAAGCAAATAACGAAAACACTTTCAGTAAAAAAATGACGGCAAAGAACGAAGAACTTGCGACATTAGAACAAAAACTTTACGAACAAGACAACAGATGGGTAGGTAAGTTACAACATTTAGAAAACAAAATTAAGCAGCTTGAAGATGAAAAGATCAGCCGAGAAGTAGACAAGTTAGCACCACAGGGAGTCTACAAAAAGACATCATCTGCGAACTCTGACACTAATGAGCCAAAGAGATCAAGTCCACCAAAAATGTCCACCTTTGATGGAAAGAGCGGTTTTCCCACATTGCGTCCAGATACAAATGGTCTGATGAACAAAAACTGGACAAACTTATTGAGAGTCTTCGAGACAAGGCCTTGAAATACTTCAGTTCCAGACCAAGTTCAGATCAAAGAAGCTTCAAGAAACTGAGTGCAAAAATGAATGAGAGATTTGGCAAGAAAGACCTGCCTCATATAATACGAAGACAACTTCAAGATATCAAACAAGGCCTGGAGGAATCCGTAGACGAGTTTGCAGATAAGGTTCTGGAAATGACCACAGACGGATACCCAGACACGCCTGAAGATTGTCGACAAACTGTTGCAATAGATGCATTTTTGAGAGGCTCCACAAATAAACAAGCTGCACTCATTGCCATGGACAAAAACCCAGACACACTAGACATTGCCACACAATACATGAAAAGTGCAATCACAAACCAAAAGCTCATTCTAGGTATAAAAAAATCTGAAACAAGAAGGGTAAAATTTGAAAGTTCAGAAAGTGAGTGTGAGGAAGATGGAGAGAAGGTTAGCAAGATTAGGTCTCTTTACAATAAACAAACATCAACAACATACACAGAACAAACAAAAATGTCAAGACTTGAGTCAAGGGTCACAAGATTAGAAGATGACATGAAAGATATAAAAACAAACGTCCAAGACATTTTAAAAATTTTAAAATCTCCAAGTCAGAAACACAATTACAGGTCAAACAGTAAAGAGGGTACAAGAGTTAGATCACCTTCAAGTAGCCCAAACAGACAAACCTGCTTCAAATGTGATCAAGAAGGTCACTTTGCTAAAGACTGTCCTAATCGTAGAAGTAGGTCACCATTTCAGAGTAGGAATAGGTCACCATCACCCCAGTCTAAGCCTTTAAACTTCAACAGGTTGGAGATGTAGGCCATTCTTCAACCCATTCAGATACATCAGACAGGCCTCGTCCTAAAGTAAAATTTAACTTACAAGAAATTGACCTTTACAAAGATGATAGATTGAAAAACACCCTTTATGTCCCTTGTACTGTAAACAACAGAACAATTGATGCTGTGATAGATACTGCTGCACAAGTCACTGTTATGAATTGGGAACTTTTTGAAACCCTCCAACCCAAACCAAAATTAAATAAAGAAATAACTTTGAAAGGGGCAGGTAAACATAACATCAAAGCCAAAATAGCAGAAAAGGTTAAGTTGACAGTAGGGCCAATAGTACAAAGGTGGGATGTAGTGGTTGGGGAGATTGCAGACTCATTATTATTTGGTCTTGATTTTTTGAAAGCACACAATAGCATTATCAATATGCAAAACTTGACTCTTACTTTGGATCAAACATCAGTACCAATCACTAAGATAAAAACAGAGTGTTCTAGGGATGATGTTCAGGTATATAGAGTTTCTGTACAGAAAAGAACAGTTATACCACCTCAAACAGTTCAAATTACACCAGTAAAAGTTGACAGATCATTCAAAGGTTCACTTTGTATTGAGACAGAAAAGAACTTTTCTAAGGGTATTATGCCTCCAAATTCTGTGATTAATTCAGAGCATACAAACATTTCCTTTAGAAATCCAACAGATAGATTTGTCACTTTAAAAAAAGGTGAAAATATAGGTTTTGGAATGGAAATAGATGAAGTGGTTGATATGGAAGATGACGAACAAATATCTGTCAATAAAATTGACATAGATCACTCCATTACTAAACCATCATCTGAAATTTTAAGATCTCAGTTACCACCCCACTTACAAGACCTATATGATAGATCAATTACTAACCTAAATGAGGAAGACCATTATGAAGTTTTCTCTTTGTTAAATAGATTTCAGCATGTTTTTGCCAAAGATGATTTTGATTTAGGTCTTTTTAATGGGGAGATAACTCATAAAATTAACACTGGTGGAGCAAGACCAATCAAACAGAAGTTGCGTAGAACACCAATGGGGTTTGAAAATGAAGAGAAAAAGCACATAGAGCAAATGATTGAAAAGGGTATAATTCAACCCTCTAATTCAGAGTGGGCCTCTCCTCCTGTATTAGTGAGAAAGAAAGATGGGAAAATGAGATTTTGTATAGACTATAGGGCCCTTAACAAAGTTACAACAAAAGATGCTTTTCCCATACCAAATATACAAGATTGCATTGACACTTTAGGGGAAATTCTTTTTTCAGTTCACTAGATATGGCTTCATGTTACTGTCAGGTACTAGTAGATGAACAAGACAGAAGCAAAACAGCATTTACAACTAAATATGGCTTGTATGAACATGTTAGATTACCCTTCGGTTTATGTAACAGCCCAGCCACTTTTAGTAGAGTTATCCAACAAGTCTTAAGGGGATTAACATGGCAAGAATGCTTAGCATATTTAGATGATGTTATCATTTTAGGTAGTGATATGCTGTCCCATACTAGAAATCTTACTGCAGTTATTTCCAGGTTTGAAAAATACAATCTGAAACTCAAACCTCAAAAGTGTGAACTATACCAAAGAGAAATCAAATTTCTAGGAAAGTTAGTCAATCAAAATGGTGTTTCAGTCAATCCTGAAAGTATAGATATTATCAAAAAGTGGCCAGTCCCAAAAGATACAAAGCAATTAGAATCATTCTTGGGATTCGCAAACTACCACAGAAATCATGTTAAGGGTTTTGCTGAAATTTCTCACTCATTATACCAACTTGTAAAAACATCCAAAAAGTCAAAATTTGAATGGTCAGAAGAACATCAAAATGCATTTGAAATGATCAAACAATGCATCATTCAAGCTCTGACATTAGCGTACCCAAATTCACAAGATACCTTTTTTTTTAGACACGGATGCATCAGATAATTCAATTGGTGCTGAATTATGTCAAATACAAAATGGTAAAGAACAAATTGTAAGTTTTGCTAGCAAGGTATTAACACCAGCCCAAAGAAAATATTGTACCACTCGAAAAGAACTCTTGGCAATTATTACATTTACAAGACAATTCAGACATTTTTGTTGGGTAATACCTTTATTCTAAGAACCGACCACAATAGTTTGATATGGCTCTTAAATTTCAAAAACATTGAAGGTCAACTAGCAAAATGGATTGAGGAACTGTCACAATATAACATCATTTTACAACATAGACCAGGGAAAAACCATAGTAATGCAGATGCCCTTTCGAGAATACCAGATAGTGTAGATCTTTGTAATGAATATAGACCTGGAATAGAATTGAGTCAATTACCTTGTGCTGGGTGCCATTTTTGCACTCGAGCAAAACAACAGTGGGCCACTTTCGAGAATGATATAGATTATGTTACTCCTTTAACAATAAGATCAGTTGACAGTGTTGATAAAATTGCTTTTGGGTTGTCAGATATTTTTGATCGAGAAGAATTAAACAAAAATCAAAATGAAGATAGTGATATTTACAAGGTCAAGACTTGGATAGAGTCTGGGATAAATCCATCTCAGAAAGAGTTATCATTAAGTAGTCCCAGTGTTAGATATCTTTGGTCAGGTGAATCTCAGTTACACCTAAAAGATGGTCTTCTATATTACTTATGGGAAGATCATATTAATCCAAGATATTTGTTTGTAGCTCCAAAAAATATGCAACCTGAAATATTGAAACATTGTCATGACTGCAAAACAGCAGGACATTTAGGTCAAACAAAGACTTATGAAAAATTGAAACAATGCTCAATTTGGTATGGTATGTCACAAGACTCCAAACTTTATGTTGAAAATTGTAGTGTATGTAACAAGAATAAAAAGCCCAACATCAAAGCTAAGGCTGCTCTAGGTCAATATCATGCAGGTTATCCTCTTCATCGTGTACACATTGACATACTGGGACCTCTTCCTGTAACCAAAAATGGAAACAAATACATCTTGATGATCATTGATCAATTTACTTAATGGTTAGAAATTGTCCCAATGCCAAACCAAAATTCTGAAACAGTAGCAAAAGCTGTGGTTGATAATTTTATATCTCGGTATGGTTGCCCTAGAGAGTTACATTCTGACCAGGGTAAAAATGTCGATGGTGTACTTATGCAAAAATTGTGTCAGCTATTACAAATAGCTAAAACCAGGACAACACCATACCATCCTCAGTCTAACGGTCAAGTTGAAAGATACAACCGTTTAGTACTACAGAGTATTCGATGTTATTTAAAAGACAAACAACATGAATGGGACCTCAATTTACAACAAATTGCAGGTGCTATTAGAGCTACTGAAAATAGACAAACTCAGTTTACACCAAACTTTATGTTTTTAGGAAGGGAGACGACCCAACCTATAGATTTGATACTAGGTACATGCAACCTGAACAACTCTGAGAAAGAAATTCCTGAATACTTACAAGATTTGAGGTCTAATATTACAGAATGTCATCAAATTGCAAGAGAAAATATTTGTAAAGCCCAAAATAGACAAAAGCGATACTTTGATACCAATTTATACCAAAGTACATACAATGTAGGAGATGTTGTACTGAAAATTGATTAAGCTACAAAACTGGGTCAAAGTTCAAAATTAAAGTCTCCTTGGAAGGGTCCATATATCATAACTGAGGTCAAATCTCCTGTTTTATTTAAGATCATTGATAAGAAAAACAGAGAATCTGTAATACACCATGACCGCATTAAGTTCTGTAAAGATTTAAATCATCCCGGCTGGGTAAAAAGATTCAGGAATAAATTTTTCAACCAGAGTGATGGGTCTTTAAAGCAGACTAGTTGTCCTTCTGAATCTGATGATGTGATCTCAGATGTTGCAAACCTTTTTGCTAGGGATGATGCGTCGGATGTTCTGATGCATCATCAAAACCCCAGTACTGCTTCAAGTTCTCTTTCTTCAGGAAAAGAACAGGTTAAAAGAGGTCAAAGGACAAGACAAAGACCCAGTTACCTATCTGATTATGTACAAGATCAAATTAACAGAAGTGCATGTGATTTAATAACTAGCATGTTTCACTGTTTTTATAATGTTTTATATATAAGTAAAAATGAAAAAAAAAAACATTCAAAACAAAGAAACAAAATAATAGACAAATTAACATATTTAGTTTTTTTTAATGGTGTATATTTATTTCATTTTACTATTTTATGCCTGTATAATAATATATCAAAAACCTTTAAGCATCAGGAACATTAAAAGTTTTACAAATTTATATATTAAAAGTAACTTGTATTAAATGTAAAAATACAATTGTTTTAGAAATGTCAGAGTTAGGAGATCATTTTGTACCTGACTATGAGGAAGAACCTCTACCAAACCACGTGCAAGGTTCCACTTTAGGTAAAAAAGGGAAAAAGTGCCCTGTTTGTAACTCAAAGTTTACACATGTCCGACGACATGTTATTCAAGAACATATTCCTTGGTTTCTTTATCCAAAGACATCATGTTGGACATGTGAATTAGGTTTTGGCCAGGAAAGGTTTTTGAGGTTGCATATAGAAAAAGAACATTTTGATGACTCCACATATTGTAGATATGATACTGACATTCATGGTCAAATGTGGGTTGAAAAAATATCTACTTTAATCAACAGATTCAACAAAGTAAATGTGATATCATTTATAAATTCAAACGAAAAATTTTCTGCATGTTTAGGAACAATTTGGCAAGAGGATGACCTTGTACAAATAAAATATTACTTAGAAACAACTCATCAACATCAGTCATTACCAAAGTCTCCTTATCCTGCTCAAAACTTTACAAGTTTGTTTCACTGGAAAATACTTAGTATTCTGTTGGATATAAGCAGCCCGCCTGCTGAGGTTTTACAAAATTGTGAACTTACAAAAAAGAAAGACATACTCATAATAGGATCCTCAATTATTCATTGGGCCCATCAAAGATCTATTGACACTCACTCTACTGACTTAGGTTTACAAAATTGCAACATTAAGTGGCATGGAATAAGAGGCATGAGATGGTCTTCGCTTACAGAAACACTTCACACTGCTACAAAAGATATAATCCCAAACATTATTATAATTCATTTAGGATCTAATGACATCTCTTTTTCAAGTCCTCTTTCTCTCATAACCAAAATGCAAAATGACATTTCTTCATACATGGAGAATTTTCCAGATACAATTTTTATTTATTCGGAACTATTGTCAAGAAGAGTCTGGGGCAAAATCGCAGTCTGGGAGGGAGAAAACAAGAAAACGACAATCAATAGAGAATTAGGATCATTTATGGAAAGAAGGGGAGGGAAAGTGATATTCCATCATGAAATTCATTGGAAATACAGAACACTTTTTAGAAGAGATGGGGTACATTTGACAGAAATTGGAAATGACATTTTGCTATCAGACTTCAAGGATGCTTTAAAAATGTTATGTTAATTTTATAGTGTCATTATTTTTAAAATTGTATATATTTGTACTGTATACTGCTTTTATATTTAAATGGCATAAAGTCGGATGTTCTGATTTGTGCCATATCCCAGGGCTTATTAAAACGGGGAGGAATGTAGTAATAAAGGTTTTATAAAATAGTTCGGGTTCGGGATACATATATTTGATACGTCACAAACAGCTGATTTACCACCATATTAAGCCAGTTGTGATTATACCCTGGATTGACACAGACGTCTGACGACACTGTCCCGTCCGAGGTCCACAGCTCAGGTGGGTTGTAACTTATTGTTACCCCTCACCATTTTCACGAGTTATACTAACTACATAGATTGTATTTCCTTGTACTAACGCACTTCACAACAGCATCATCACAACATTGAAGGTTAAAATAAATACTTGAAATAAAAAATCAAAGTATCTGTAATGTCTCTTTATGACAAAATATTTCTTGATAATTTCTTTTTGTTCTTTTATAATTCTACATTGTTTGCATGGCTTCATCAAAAATAAATTCAACTCAACTCAATACTCTAGAAATTTTTTTCTACATTATTATGATTATAAATTTAATCCAGTGCACTTAAAATATGCAAAGTATGAATAGATTTTGCTGGCTGTAAAGGCTATGAAACTATATAGTATACAATAACATTGTGGGAAGAGGGGGGATAAACTGGATTTTTGAATTTCAACTAAAAATGTATTATAGTGACATCCAACTTTAAAGGTATAAATACATGTGCATGTATGTTGAAAGAACATCAGCTAGCTAATCCATTGAATTTTTACATCTATGTACATGTGTATTCATTTACTGACAATTATTTTTCCCCCCAACACTAGTGAATGGTACGCGTGCTTATAGTTTCGGGTTAAATGTTAGATATATTTAAGACTATAGAGAACCTACAAACTTGTACTCTCTCTTTTTGATAGTTTAAGTTTTAATTAAATGTATTCTTAGAAAATATCTACTGTGTGAGACTGTGAGTATTTGTCTTACAGGTTCAATATACAGTCAGCCTCTCATAAGATAAAGAACAAATCCCAAGATCCAAGGCTTGCTTCAAAGTTAAGGTAACTACACACTGTAAAATAAACTTTGTTATATTCTTCCCAAAAGTCTGGGATATCTTGGAATCACAATGTCTGTTTTTCTGCCTGTCTAATTGTCTGTTGTATTTTTTGTACAGAAATAATAATCATGTATCTATATCAGAATCTTCTTAATTTTTTGACAATCTGAATTAATATGTACTGTTTGAACATTCTAAATTTGATTGTCAGAATAACAAAAAATTGCTTTAAATGATTTTATTATGAAGCATATCTTTCAATAGTGTAATTGTTTTGCAAATTACATCAAAGGATTTCTCAAAACACGTAGTATAACATATATAACATTAGTTTTATCTTGTATCATATCTGTGTCAGTGAATTGGGCATACATTTTTTTGCTGATTATACCTAAGTAACTTTTATAACTCATAAAATTTAAGAATTATTTTATTTTTTGAATTGAATTTTTTTGTAGAGACCATTCTGTGCCACAAAGAAATTGTTCAGGAAGAGGAGAAGTGGTGGATATTCATTTTTGGTACGGTACAGTTCAAAGAGATTTTCAAAATGGTCATGGAAGATCAAAGGGAGGACAAATGAAAAAACTGAAAGATACAGAAGGAAAAAGAGCAAAGAAATATATGGAATAATTATGAAATGGGGAGGATGTACACAATCTTGTCTGAATTTGACGTGTGAAGATTTCCCATATTCTTATTGTATGCTGGAATAATCAATAACTTGATTTTTCATAAATTTACAATAGAGAATACATGACAAATGTTATTGCTGATATTTCAATTTTGCTTTGGACACTTTCATGTCATGTGGTATTTTTATACATTACCTAATTATGTTATTCATTTGTACATGCACAGTATACATGTTTTACTACTAAATCATTTTGCTGAAATCTTATAATTTGTACTCATGTTAGAATATGTTTAAAATACATGTATCGACAAATGCTACTGACTTGTTTGTATATTTTCTTGCTTAGAATGTAGACTGTGAAAAATAAGTTATTTCTCTTGATGAAAATAATTTTATCAAAAAAGATGTGTAAGCATTTTAAGATATTTTAAAATATTTAACCAATGAAGATCATTGTAATGTAATGAATTTTCATCTAAAGCAGAACTATCTGATTTTTAAATGTGTACAAGAATGTGAAAAATATTGAAAAAGAACACACAAGTGATTCACATGATTTACATATGATGTCCTTTTCATATGATTCTCATATGTAAATGGCTTGAAACACACTGAAATCATTCATATGAAAATCATATGTAGTTATTTTCATATGATTCACATATGTGGATCATATGTAAATCATATGATTTGCTTCATATAATTCACATATGATGCCCTTTATCTATGATTCTCATATGAAACCAATCATATGAGAATCATATGATATACATATGAGAATCATATGTGGCTAAGTTGCCTGTGTAGGTTATTTATGAAATCCTGGACAATTTCAAATAAGAGTAGCCATCAAAAAGTTTTCAAAATTGATTCAATATCAGTGTTATTGTATTTTTGCAATCAACAGCACTTATACTGACAAAGTTTATTTTCCATTTCTTATTTAGATGCATCTCCCCCCCCCCCCCCTATTTTGCAATCATCTGTGATGGTTTGTACAAAAAATATGTACCCCTGACGGCTTTTTTCATATTATAACATATGTTTTTAAACCCAAGTTGGTATTTGCTAGAATTGAATGAATAAAATACACTGAACTTGTGTTTTGTTAACTGAATGTTTACAGTAAAGATGTGAAATGTTTTTTTCTTTAACTTACGTAGTTCACAGTGATGTCCCTTATACCCAGGTTTACACCCCTGACAAGCACCTGTCTCTATGTGACAATAACGACAGTTATTATCAGGACAGGAGATGGAACAGTCTGGTCCATATACTTCTTGATCTTTGCAACCTAGGGTTTAAAATACTTTTTTTTATAATGTTAAGAGGATTTTAGATAAAATTATTCTTTTTTCTTCTTTAACATTGTTATTGAATACATGTAATTTTACAAACTTTTATTGTTCATTGAAGACTTTCATTTGTTTGAACAACTTTTAACTTATAAAATCTTTCGTCCATTTTAAATTGAGTTTAACGAGAATCGATCGATGTTTTATTTTGTGTAAAATTGCTTTAGACATGTACTCTTCATTGCCTTCACAAATGAATACTATATTGTCACAGTTATAACGACGCCAAATTTATTTGAGAAATTTTGCCTTTTTTCAATCCAAGAACATGCCTTCACTGTGCTTGCTGAAAGCTTACTCATTTTGGTATTTCGTTCAATTTTTGTTCCTTATTAATGTTTGGTGTATGAAAAACAACTTCTTCACATACTGTTTTACATGTAAAACATAAACAAAATGTTCAAAGTTTCAGAAAATAAATATTGGAGAGAAATTTGTATGCTGACATGAGCCTTTAAATTAATGGTATTTATGGTACTGTGCTCCGTGATCGGTAATTTGTGAGATCGAGGCAAGGCCGCGACTGAACAAAGTCGATAAATAGGTAGCAAATGGTTCTTTGGTTCAATTGGTTCATTGCACTCGACGCTTTAAGTAGATGTTTGGGTCCTTCGGATGAGATTTTAAAAACAGGAGACCCGGGTCACCGCCGGCGATGGCACGATAGAGATCCTAACTGTTCATAAGCCATGGGTGCAAAATAAAGTCCAATATCTGAAGCTCTTCACTTGATGATGGTGTTGTCTCCATATATGTGATTGAGCCATTAAAGAATGGGAGGTAAAACAATAAACTATCAAGCAATCAATGAAGCAATCTAAACGTCGTATTATGTATACCTTTTAAGAATTACACATTTTCTGAGAAAAAGTTTAAATTCCTTTTTTGTGTTCTCATACATGTACATATAAGCCCAATTTTCAGTAAAAAAAAGGCTACACCTAATTTTATTTTCATTCTAGAGTGAGATATGGATATACTGCAACTTATGTGTTATATTTAAAGCATCTCAGCATTTAGTTCCTTGCCTGAATTAATTAATTTGTTTTAAAATCTAAAAGTAGTTCTAGAGGATGATTTCATACGAAAAAAAATCAACATATGTTAATACATTTTTTTCTAATACATGTATTTTGATATCGCTACAATTGTACACACTCACGGTAAGGTAACAATTTCAATTTAATTTTTCTCATCATTGTAAATGTATATAAATATATTTGCATGACATGTTTCGTAATGTTTAATGACATCCTCAATAAAAGCGTTGTACACTTTCAGAATACTCAGTAAATCATAAAACAAATTAAAAAAAAAATCTGTCTGCAGACTTCACCACATTCAATAAATCACGTTTCTATTGACGTATACTTTTTTTATTATCGAAAAAAGACAAAAAGCGTACCGTTAACTTCAACTTCACACAATTCGTTGTGTGCCCACTTGCTGAATTGAGCAGCACGTGCTGCATCCTGTGGTCTGACGTTGTAGTAGATGACGTATTGGCCGTGTACAGGACATTTTATGTCTGCAATTGACGGTATGGTTGCCGTGGTGTAGTTTTCATCATGAAAACATAAATACCCATCCAGTCTGTTTGTTGTATTAGATATGTAGACATAAAATCCTAAAAATCTCGTTGTGTATCCATTCGAAGCATCTTAAACAAAAGCAAATATAATGATTTTTTTTCAGGAAAAAAATAATTGATACGTAATCTGCAAGAATCAGTTTTTAATTACTTAATAAATTGATATAAATGCTGAAGTGTCGAATTATAGAAATACTTTGTGAGCAATCTATCCATCCACGTGTGGACAGCAACTAATTAGTTCTTTCTATTACGATGAATATATGACATTTTTGAACCATTGAAATAGCTGCATTCGGATTTCAATTTTCATGAAAAGAAAACCGTCAATATATACATGTATTACCTTAAGAACCTCTCTCTCTCTCTCTCTCTCTCTCTCTCTCTCTCTCTCTCTCTCTCTCTCTCTCTCTCTCTCTCTCCTGCAAATATGTAATTTAAAGTAATTACAGTCGAATTTTTTCTTTGTAAAAGTAATGGAAATATTGAATGCAAATTTAGAATTTTATATCGCAAAAGTGTAAGTAAAGGATAATTTCTATTAAATTGTAAATCATTTCTTGTCGTTTAATGATACATTTGACAGGGATGTACATGTATTTATTGAAACGGAAATGGTTGCTGTTTAGTTTCGTATAAACGTTAGACCTACGTTTTCTTTTCATTTCTTAAACACTAAAAAATATTAATTTTGCGATCATACAAGTAGTATGAAATTGCCAATTTACGGGGACTGCTCTGATACACGCTGTATTAGAGTGTTTTGATACCTCTCAGTGAACAGTGTTTGAAGTAGATTTCAGCTGTGTGTCGTCTAATACATTGTATTAAGACCTGAATAAGGCATACAGTTGTGGAGGGCACAAAGCTGAGAAACTGAAATAACCTGAACATAAGACCTAAATAAGGCAGTTGGTTGGTTATAGGGAGAGGTGGCATACCACAGATTAAGGTGGGGGAAGTGCCAAGAGGCAGTACTATCGTAGTGACAGGA